CTGCTGACCTGGTAGATTTGTGGGGCCAACCCGAGCTGAGAGACCAGATAGAAAATAAAAAAACAAACAACAAAACAGGAATTTTTGGCGTGCTTACTGACAGATTAGCAAGCACATGAGAAGAGAACGACGGCCCAAATTCAAACAAAAGTGAAGGCATTGCGAGCCCAATACAAGCTGATAAAAGATCAGTTGAAGAAGAGTGGTTCGGGCACGTCTGGTGTAAAATCTTTGATTGCAATCACACGCGCGATCCACCCAATCACACGCGCGTATATCGAATCCAGTGAAACAGAGTTGGCCAAACTCTCTCTTTACGGCTCTGCTGTTTCGACTTTCATAATTTGGAGGTCAATCCAACTTGTGTGACTGACCCAGAATTTCGAGCCTGGCTTGAAATCTCACCCGCAGTGAGTCAAGCCAGGTTTGAGACGCTAGTGTGACTGTAGCCTATATGAGGCATGTCGTGGCGAAATGGCTAAGTTGTCGCACGGGACAGTATTGAGGAAATGAGCTATAAAATATGGGAGCTCAAAAAATTGCCAAAAAATCCAAATTTGTTTTTCACTATAGATCAACAGTTTAATGTCTTAGTAATCATGTCCCAAAGTATTAGTTCTGGAAGTGGTAAACAAATCGTTTATTTAACATTATTTAGATAGTTAATTCTATTAAACAATGTATGCACAAATAACTTTGGAAGGCAATTACTCAAAATCATGTTTATCTTGACTCTAAGAGTGCTGTACTGTACCTTTCACATTCCAATAACTTGGGCTTTAAATGTCCAATTTCATTGAATGACCCCTCATTTTAAAGATCACATACTCTGGTATCTGAAAATACCAATAACTTGAATTTCAGTTTTTGCTACAACTTAGCCATTTTGTCACAACATTCCTCATATGTTAATGACTTGAAGGGTGGAGGTCCCAAGTGGCGGACTTCTGTAATTTCAGTATAACGACTATAAAATTAATCCAGCTAAGTGTTTTATGCCTAATATAAAGGGAATAAACTCAATGACAGGTTGAGAACTTTAATGTCAAGTTACCAACTTGCATTGTACAAAGTATTAAAAAACACACAGTTAAACTACTTTAATGTATTTATGTTAGAAAAAAAAATCCAAAAAGATTGAGAGAAGCAGAACTTTATTCAATATGTTGTCCTTTTTAAAACATTCTTCTTATATTTGGGTTGAGATTTGATTTCTATACTTTATTAAGACTGTTTTAAATAACCATGGAATATTTAATTATTAAAAAAATCTGTATCTCATTTTGTTCTTGAGTTTTTCGTCAAACACCATTTTTGTGTCTTAAAAAAATCAATTTTGTAACATATACCAGAAACTTTTTACCTTCGGAGCCTGGCTTTTAACCCTAACCTCAGTGTTATACACGTCGATTGATACTAACTATGCGTCAAAAAACAATTGAAATCTATTAAGAAAAGAACACAGCATAGGCTGGTTCCAGCATGTGGGGAGGGGGGAGGTGTGTAAAAATTAGAATACGGAACTAAATCCCTATTCCAATGAAAACTACAGTAACCCACTTAGTGGAACTAATTTGCTGCCATCCCTTCAACTTTTTCCCATCATATTGTATGATCTTATTATTTAATCATATCTGTCTTGAGTGATTTTGATTTGTAGCACTGTAGTATTATAGGAAAAAAACAAAATAGCTTCAGTAGCTAAAATGCAAGCTTACTGTATTATTCATACCCAATAGGTAAACATAGCTTGCAGTTAATAGGATGTCAATCATATGCACAATTCAACACAGTTGATTGATATTTTATTGCTGAGACCTATTACTATATTACTGGTTACATTCTTAAACAACTTCTCTCGCCACAAGTTTATGATAGGTTAATGACCAATTTTGGACAGATTGAAGATAGCTTAACCTACAAACTCAATGATTTCTAATGGCTTTCTAACTCAATATTTACCTCTATTGTTATTTTTCCAGACTTGAAACTTTCTGTTTGCACTATATGACAAACATCTGTGATTTGCCTATGGATATATGACATCATCCTGCCCATATAATATGCACAAATCATAGACTTTGTCACAAGAAAAGAAACTTACAGTGTAGACAATGCCGTAGCCAGGATTTTCAAACGATACGGGACAATACAAGGGTGGACACACTTTACGAGTAAATTCAAACAATTCGGACCCATTTTATGCAAAAATATGAAAAATCTGGACCCATTTTCTTAAATTTACCCATTTTAAAATAAATATGAGAAAGCTGAACCCATTTTTCAAAAAGCAGACCCATTGTATCCATAAAACTACATTTGGACCCATTTTTAAAAATGTGGACCCATTAAAAAAACTGTGTGGGACTGTCCCAGCAGCTGCTACGACATTGAGCGTGGACAGATCTTTACAGAGATTTTATAATACTTTTGCCATAAAGTACACATCATTTAAATCCATGACTACTTGTCTTATGTAATTTAATGTAATGTAGTTAGATATAGCACTTTATACCAAAACAATCTCAAAGTGCTCAAGGTGACCCCTGTACATTATTTATTTTAATATTCATTCATTATTTCAGTATATTTATAGCATTTCAAGATTACAAAATCTTAAAAAAAAACAATTTAAGAATTTCAAATATTTATATGGTTCTATTTTCCATTAATTCACATAGAAAATAATGAGCAACTTTTTCCCTACCTCTCCATGCAAGTGATCCCACAGCACCAAGGATAAGAGTGTTTCCATCTATGGAATACTCGGCACTAAAGCCTGCCTGGCACCAACCATGCCATGGTATTCCCTTTCCATTAACATCAGCTTTAATCTGAGTTTCTGTAGAAGAAAATAATAACTTTAGATGGCTTTTATGTTAAAACACTACCATCTTATATTAGGCAAGGCCGCATTATTTTTTTCCCATACAGTTGCGGCAGAAATTATAGAGGGTGCTATTTTAGGTCAGTTAGGAGAACTGATATGCATGAATGCATAGACTCCCCCTCGCGATCGAGTCAGTGGTGTTTCAAGTTTTATGCGTGGATGAACGCTACGGAGTCATTAGGCCAAAATATCTTAAATAAGCCTTAATAGTCAAGACAGTGTAAAAATTGTAGTACTGTACTAGATTAGACACATTCTATGTAGGCTTACAGAATGGTCTTTGAAAGTATAAAAAAACGAAGTAGGCTAATATTGAATCTGGCACCATATTTGAGTAGGCCTAGGCCTACAGTTAGGCTTATACAGAATGATGTGTGTGTTGTAGCAATTGTATGCTCCCTATACTTCGTAGTACTGATTCTGAAGGACGTTTAGAAATGCTCAGAAACAAATTACTAGTACTTCGGACACAGTTAACTTACAATTTACAATTAAAAGTTTATTTTTTTTATGAGAAAAAAATCCCTGCCTATTAACAGTGAGCGTTTCTGTATTCTTTTGCATGATTCATTTGGTAACATTTGAGGATATTTGTAGAACCGTCTGTAAATCAATGAAAGCTATTTTTACTTCCATCTGATTTTGATTTTTTTTTATATATATTTAAAGCTATTCAATATTTAATTGGGTAGACACAGCCTAAACAGTACATCATATCATGTGAATATCGTAAAATTAGTGTTTATAATATACCTGCTTGCTATATAATCTATGTCTTTATTCATATTGAATATGAACGAAATGTTAGTAAGAAGTTAAACATTAAAACAATACATAGAGAAGTACCTGTGTGTCCGAGCATTTTTAAACGTTTATCATTTAGAATCAATAGTATAGCAGTTAATTATTGCATACTTTACATCCCCGTTCCACAACCATTTTAGTCCACGATCCAAATTATATGTCAAGCAGTCTGACGCGACCCATCGAACCCTAAGTGATTAAAACGTCAGTCGTTTTATACGCGCGAGGGATAGTGGGAAGAACCACCCATTTGATTCTTTTGTGAATTAATTAAAAGATATTATCACCCACAAAATCACTATGTAAAACCCATAGAAATGAAAATATAACATTGAATTACTTATTTAACCAAATCACGTAAGTTATCAAATTTTTCAATAAGTTAAACATTTTTGAAAATTAATGATTAACAGACATTTTATTACAAACTCCTACTGCTGCCAGGAATTAATGGGTTATGCGAAGACATAGATACATTAAATTTAAAAATGTTTTCTCGTTATAATTTGCAGCTGAAAGCTTAACACATTGAAATGAACAAAACTAATACTTTAAAGTTGTAATACCTGAAGTACAAATGTTTTGATAGTATATTTTTAACATGAAACTATGATAATGCCTTCATAACAAATATTAAACTGACACATTTGTCACACTTAAATTGCACTTTCATTTACTGTAATTTAATTTAATTTCGTTTGTCTTTGTTCTTGTTAAGTAAATTTTTCACGATCTGAAGATATTATGCGACCCATTAATTTTTTTTCGCGACCCAAACATTGGGTTGCGACCCATAGGTTGCGGAATGGTGCTTTACACTCTCAAATGATTGACCAGAAATTCAACGCTGCCTTTTTTATATTTTCAAAGACCATGTTGTACATAAACACTGCCTAGGCATTGTAATTACAGAAATAGTCAATTACAGTAGTTCACTCTGTATTGACTGTATACATTTTCCTCTCGACCAACTACGAAGAGATTTTGGCCTACACTAACCATGGAGGAATTAGTTTAATTTCTAAACTAACTCCGACTCCATGCCCTAACAACGCCGTAGCTGTCATATTCCACAAGCAGTGAACACCACATCACTTTCGTGACTCGTGAGAAGAAGTGCTAAGCAGGCATGCATTATTCATGTTATCAGTTCACATAAATGACCTTAAATAGTGCCCTCTATAATTTCTGCCTGTATTCCCACTGTATTGGAAAAAAAAAATGCGGGCCTTCATGCTTGCAATAATAAATGACACTTATGTCTAGGCTAAGAAAGAAAGTAGATTTAGATTCAGATTTCTTTATTCACTTCAACTGGCAGTAAAAAAACTGAATTGCGAGAAGTTTACAATATAAAAAAAATGCTTGATTAAATTTTCTTAAAATGCAAAAAAGAAAATTTAAAAACACAACACCACAGAATTAGATGTATTGAAGCAAGCAGACTGATTGACAACATAAAGTACTGTATATCTTGCATGAATATAAAATACAGATATTGATAGTTGCAGTACCAGCAGGTTGTACGAGGGGACACAGGACTCCCCTTCAAGAAACCGTGTAACCGTGTACCCCCATTGAGATTGAGGCCAATTATTTTGTCTGCGAGGAACACAGCCTAGAGTGGTATTTCAGGAATCTACATTAGCCTATTCTTAAAATTTGCTCACCTCAGTCTCCTCCTTCTTATCGAGTCACTACGAAGCTAGTGTGTATGATCTAGCTTACGTAGTGTGGTAGAAGGATTCATAGGTTGGACGGGTACCTGACATGGGCCGCGTCGTGAGCGCTCCTTCTGTGGCCGGACAGGAGACTAGAGATGGACCAGTACACCGGGGTAACCCCCTACTCTTCTCGAATGCTGTGCTGGGTTCTTTAAAATGCACACGAGCCAATTGTGTACACAGAGCCTACGGTTTAAATCCGAGAAGACTTGTTCCACCACCGGAACCATAGGCAAGTGTGCCGTTCGAACCAGCGCCGATATTATGGCTGTAAGTCACGGTTCCCCTGTCTTTAACCGCTCGGCCATTCAACTCGCCTCAGTCCAAACCATGGTAGGGCAGGTACAGCAGTTGTGACCCCCTCAATGTAGATTCTTTGATACGGCCACTGGATACTAATATTTACAGTGTGCCTCTTTCTACTTTCTCTTTCTAATGATTGTCAAATTATTATTAATATTATTCATATTTTTCACCATAAGGTTGAGGTGTAGTACCAATAGTGACCCTTGTGCTTGTGACTGAGTTTTTGAAGGAACATAAGCAACAGAGTACAGTGGAATACATAAATAGACTGGGTAAGCTGTATAATCTGGGGCATGCTGTATCATTCATAAGGTATTCAACTTCAGTGAAACACGATACATGTACATGTACTTTTGGATACCCTGGAGACATAGCTCTGTTTCCTATTCAATTTCAATCAATTACATTATGTGGTCTATTTCTAGATGGACTTTCACAAAAATCCCTTCTGATTTTAATGCCCTTTCAAAAACAATATTTTTTGTACGGGATGTCTAACTGACTTATAATATATACTATACATTTATTCCTAATTACAGTATGTTAAAATTAAGGATATAACATCACTCATAGCTTCTCTAATTTATTTTTTTTTATGTGTGCAAGAGCATACCGTAGAATATTTTAATAGCATAAAACTAGAAATTGCAAATTGCAAGTGAAGTGCTGCGAAGTACAACTGCATATAAATGTTCTTCGAACAAAATTATATATGCGAGTCAAGTGAAAATAATGAATAATAAAAATATAACAAATAATATGAGACACGACCCATTGTCTATATTAGAACGCTTCTCATTGGGTAACAAAGTCTAATTTTTTATTTTTGTCAAAAAGTGTCTATAGTGGTGGATTATGGTTTAAGTTTTTTTTTAATAAAGTTCCAAAAATTTCTATGTATGTGGAAAATGTAGTTGATTACCAAAGGTTACAATTTTTATTTTGAAGACTGCATGGTCTAGCAAGTGTACATTTTTTTATGGGGCAAGTTTCCAAGGGCGGGTTTTCTAGGGGCGAGTTGACTGCCAAAGAGTGTTGCCAAAGTGCGAACCAGCGTGTTATTTGATCACAAGTGTGAGACATCGCAAGTGTGAGCCAGCGAGCCATGACGTCACGACAATAGATACAAGACGTTACTCGAGTTGTGCGAGGTATCGGCTGAGATTTGTGGAGTACAATTCAAAAAACAACTATAGGTCTAATAATGAATTATTGTGATGTTAAATAGACAATGTTAGCTTCAAGGAGTGACGTTGTTTTTCATTGGGACCTTCGCCCCTTCAAGGCTAGGCCTATACCATCCTAGCTAGTCTAGGCCTAGAGTAGGATAAGGCTAGCGCGACATGCGGACGTTGGTGCGTGTTGGTTAGTCTACAAACGTCGCCTTAAGTAATTGATTTTACCCGGCGGAACGCAAGAAGGAAACTCTGCTTTTCAGTCGTCTTAGGCCCTTGTTTTTTGACAAACAATGACCTTTCAGAGGCCAAATTGCTGTCAAGAATATGAATTGGCTGCTTCGCAGCAATAAAGGATAACATTTATAAACTGAATCATAGGAAAAAATAGTTCCATTTGATTTGTTGGCATAGAGTTTAAATTGATACTTAATTTTGTTTTTGAGAACCTTGATTACAAAGTGCCAAGATCTGTTTGTGTTGGATGTGGGCCAGTTGGTAAACTCCACCAAGTAACCTCTTTTCCTATTTATTCAAACTGCGTCTTTGATCTTTTGATCTTTTTGTTGCTTGTACTTTCTATAGGATACCTTTTCTGTATAAGAAACCTACCACATTAATGCAATCGGCATGAAACTTGGCACATTCAAGGCCCATCACAAACTCTTGCTCAAGGACATAAGGTCTTTGCAATAAAAAAAAACTACTGTTAATAACGTAAGCAGCTCCCTCCAATAAGTACCATGTAAAAGTTTAATTATTTTTTCCAAGCACTGCTTTCCCTTTTTTCAAATTAAAGATATTCTATTTTGAATAAACGTTATTCTGTGATGAGTAGTGCATATTACAACATGCCTTTATGTTTCGCATCATTGAAAGACATTTTAAAAGCCAGTTTCTCATGAGGTTAATAATAATCTAACATTGTAAGTCAGATAAACCACAGCATACGGTACTATTTTAATACTCTTTATAATTTAGCCACACTTGAATAAGCGGATCATGCCAACTAGTGCCGCAGTGAAGCCTTAAAATATTTTTGAAGTGCCGCAACACTTACTGCATCATTTAGGGGTCTGAAACACATTTCTGGGCATTTATGAGAAAAAAATCTTCTGGCTCAGAGTCACTCCCTAGGCCCTAGGGGTACAGGTCAACCCAACAAACTTCTGACGCCTGCCAATTACTTAGGTATTTCTGGATATAACATAAATTACAATAACAATAACATACAGCAACTAATAATAAATTATAAAGAATAAGAATTTAAATAGTATGACACATAAATATAGAGAGAAATAAAATGTGTGAAGTGAACAATAACAATAACAGTAGAAATGACAATTAAAGTCTGTCTGGGTTTAGAGTATCTGCTTAATCAGTTGAGTATCTGCTTAATCAAATCAAAGAAGAGGAAAAAGGAAATCAAAGGCAATTTTCACATAACCAAGTATTTGGCAATTTGCCACTTATTAATTTAATGACCTATTCATTAAACTGTTATAGAAATCACAGGGTCAATGTGAAAGTTGAAGAAAACAGTGAAAAATCAACACATTGTACAGTATTGCACGTTATTTATACAATTTAGTAAATGTAGAAACAAAGTGTCATTGTATTGCTTTAGATATCAATACTATGAGAAGCAATTGTGTGCTACAGTATACGACAACGAATGAGAAAGAAAAGAGTGTAGGCTCACAAGAGACCAAATAAATGAGAATGCTGACAATGTATGCAGAAGACCCAATGACAACGATAAGAGGGTATGCCCATGACATGTACTTCCTGTTTAATTTGTTTAGATTTACTTTTTGTTATTTACATTATTGTCGAATGTTGTATTGTCTACATGGCATCCCTGCTACAAGCATGTTCATTTCTTGGTGATGCCTTTGTTTGTGGTTTTTTTGAATGGAAAGAAATGTTATTGAATCTGAATCTAAATGAAGAAATAATATATATTAATGCGTCGGTACATCACGTAGATAGTTCTGATAAAACTGTTGTTGTTGGTTGAGAATTCCTCGTTTCGATTGAGTTGCTTAAATTGTCTTCAGGAGAATAACATCAGCAGAAATTCCAAAACAGTAAAATACTTATATGTTTTGGGTAGAGAGACTTCCTACAATCATCAGCAAATCTCACTACCCAAAACATATAAGTATTTCACTGTTTTGGAATATCTGCAGATATTATTCTCCTGAAGACTATTGATGCAACTCAATCGAAACGAAGATATTCTCAACCAACAACAACAGTTCTTTTCAAACTCTGAATCCGACAGTCAGATGATAACCTTGGTAGGGTGCTGAGCCACTTCGATTGGTGGTTCATGACCCTTGTCATCCCAGTTTTTTTTTTTTTTTTGCCAGAACTTGAACCAACTAAACTCCAGTCTGTCACATGTAGTGCTACTAGCAGTGGTGTTACGATGAGCAATTAGGCCCTGGGGAAAGAAAGTGTTAAGGGATCCATGCATTTTAATAATTGATTATGAATGTCATGGTAAAAAGCAGGTATTACATTGTTTAAGAAAGTATAATACATACTCCAAGTATTGAAATACACGCCATCGTTTTGGGATTCAATATTTCGATATTAATTATGTCATAATCAGGAATGACTTGTTTAACTTTACTAGTTTTGGATGTCTTCTACTGGACCGTAACATCAATCTCTGTTTTGTTGCTGTGTATAGAAAGAGGGTGTCTTGAGGGCCACTTTGGACAGTGGGCCCAGGCTTTGACCCCCAAGAGCACATAGGTGTTACACCACTGGCTTCCAAGGGGCCTTTGACTTGAGGGCTTTCAAAATATTTTGGCCTCTTAATGTATGTTTGTATAATAATATACAATATGTATCTGGAAATCTGAATGGTCTTCTTAGTTGTTAGCATCACATAGCTATACATTTCTCACCTGTGAGACAGGGCCTTATTTTCTCCACTGTCATGTAGTTTAACGCTGCATCTAATTGGTAGCAGACACCATTCGGTAGAATAGCATCAGCATAGAATGTATTTGACCAACGATGACCACACACCTGTATGATACAACCAAATTCATTAATTAATGAGGTAATTGTGAATAATTAAATGTAATAAGAAATTATTTGTCAAATATAAAATAATATGATACATTGATTAATTTGTTATAAATTACTAAAATCAAAGTTCTTTACATGTATTTTGCAAATAATTTGATATTTTATCAGTGTGCCTATTGATTAATGCTAATTAGTCTTCTAAAGTCAAAGACAACAAAATAAAAACAATGTATGGACAACACAATAAAGTCTAATAAAAAATAAAATACTCTGGTGATGCGGATGTGGAGGTGGTAGAAGGCCCAGTCCAAGTGATATCAAAGGAGGAGATCAAGAAAGCATTGACAGGTATGCATAGCGGCAAGCGTGTGAGCCATCAGGGGTGGTGATGGAACATTTTGAGTTATCCTCGCATGGCAATGGAGTTCTGGAAGATGTGCTATGGAACCTGTTGTACGCAGATGATTTAGTTTTGATGGCTGAATCAATTTCACCAACTGGAGGAGTAAGCATTTGAGAGCAAAGCACCTAAAAGTCAACATGGTGGGGCAACATCAGTGGATGAAGACAAGATAGATCCTTGTGGTGTCTGTGGTAAGAGAGTAATGAGGAACTCTATCAGATGCACAACAATTCAAAAGTGGGTTCGTGCGAGATGTACTAGAGTGAAGAATGTCCCAGAGATTTGAGTGCAAGAAATGCAGAGAGACTAGTAATGGAGTGATGGAGGAGCAGGTAGGGATGTAAATGGGAGATGTTCAGAAGGTTGATAAGTTTTGTTATCTTGGCAACACAATTAACTGTGGTAGTGAATGTGAGATTGCAGTGGCAAGAAGATGCACATTGGGGTGGATGAAGTTTAATGAGCTGGTTTCGTTCCTGGCTGGTAGAAGGTTCACAATGAGAATGAAAGGCAAGATCTAAAGGCTTTTCTTAGAACAGCGATAACATATGGCTCAGAAACGTGGAATGTGAAGTTAGTAGAAGAAGGTATCTTGAGGAGAACTGAAAGAGCCATGATTCGGAAGATGTGTGGTGTGAAACTGTCTGATAGAAAGAATACATGGGAGCTCATGGATGGGTTGGGTTTGGAGAAAAACCATTGTAGATGTGGTAACTGGTACATGGTATGGGCATTTATAATGCGCCTCTTCCTTGCAGTTATAAGGCGCAGTTTTTTTCCCAGGTCATTGGGTCCACATGCTAAGTCTTGCTGCTGGTAATCAGCGCAGGAGCAGGCAACCCAACCAGGTTCCCATTTACACTCCTGGGTGAAGAGAAGCAATGCAGATAAAGTGTCTTCACAAGGACACATTAAGCAAAATGCACAGCGAGGGATTGAAACCCTGACCTCGCGGTTGGGAAACCAAACCGTTCCCGCTGCGCCAAACCGCTTAATTAAGAGATAGTGGATTGAGATGGATGGGTCATGTGCTGAGAAGGGAAGATGATGAACCAGTGAAAAGAGCATGGGATCTGGAAGTGGATGGTATAAGAGGAAGATGAAGATGGTAAATAAAGAAAGCTGTAAAGTTCAGGGTCTAAATGAGGAGGATGCTCAAGATAGAAAAAAATGGAACTATGAGAGTGTCATCATGGTGTGAAAGTCCATAACCCTTCATAAGTGGGAAAATGCTGACATAAATAAATGATGAAAATGATGGAAAATGCTAAGCATGAAGGAATAATCTAATATCCTGTAGTCTGCTCCTAAATTAGAGTTCTCAAAAGCGAAACATGAAGCTATTTACATGCTTTTATCCATGTTTCATTCAAAATACTTGCTATAATTTTGCCATCATCCATCCATACAGTATTCTAATTACCTTTCTCTGTAGTGGTATGAGTAAAAAAAATATTGAACTTACAGCAACTTTGCCAGTGTATGGTTCTCTTGTGAGTGAAGCCCCTAACCATTGGTTATCCTTTAAGTCTTCCACCAATGGTCGGACATCATATGAAGTTTTTTCATTGCCTGCAAAATACAAAAGTTTTATCTGAATCACAAACATTCCATGACTGTGATATCTTGTATAATTGTCTTATATCAGTCTTACAGACAGCTAGAGATTCATAGAATCTTTACAGTTAGCTACCTCAATAGATATTTTTGAGGCTAATAAAATAATGATCATGATATTTTCTGAGATTAAAAATACTACAAACATCAAAAGTTACCATAACCACGGTTGTTATAGTGACTAGAAATCCAACGATGTCCTCTAAACCGCGACCATAGCCTAAAGGCACAATAAACCCATTAAGAACAAACAAATCGTAAATTGTGTAAACAAGAATGTAATGCGAATCAATTAGCTTAACGATCGCCCTAGGGGCCAGTCTGTAACATGGTACAAAGGGGCCTGAGTTTGTTGGATCTCCAGTCACTACAACTCCCTACCATAACATTTTTTTTTTTCCTTTTCTTTTTTTCTTGATCATGGCTGTTTTCATTTGATAACACTTCCCATACAGTACAGCAAATGGCCTCTCCCATCCATTCTTCATAACAATAAATTTAGGCCTAAATGAAAAACTGAAGCCAGACACTCCTTGCTCTCTCAATGTTCATTGGCCAAAACAATTCTATAGAGAACGCAGTACCACAACACGCACTGGATCATTTGTAATGACATTTCATTCAGACTGCCAATGACAATGAGCAGATCGTGTCGTGTCGTCTAGTGCTCACTGGAGTACGTGATGTTTCATTTGTTGCATGACCATTGTACGCTGCGGTGAATGCAGCTTGGATTAAGGCAGTTGTAGGGGTACAGTATCAACATGGTAAGATGTCCTAATTAGTGCAAAATTTAGGTCCAGAAAACCATCTGCACATTTAAAAAATACGTGGGTCGATTTCCAACCAAATTTTGTAGAAAATTAGGGTTTGGCATAGGGGCCTAGGCCTAGGCCTATCTTAATTTTTTTCAGCTCAAATTTATTTTGAGTTAGTTTTCGATGTATCCCTAAGCAAAGAAACTACTTTACAGTGTGCTGTGGCCAAATCAGATAAAATTCAAACAATATTAATATTAGGTCTAGCCTAGGAGGCCTATGCCTAGCCTAGGTTATAGGCCTAGCCGGAGCCTAGCCTAGGCCTAGGCTACCTAGGCCTAACTAAGGGTACTTAATTAAAACATTTTTTTATTTATAAAAAAAAAAATTAAAAAGCAAATCTGGAATTTAGTATCTTATTTTGTATTATGACACTCCGGACAGGCTACAGAGAATGTATAACCAGGTGCACCTACCTAGCCACACTCTACTAATAATACTCTGTAGGCTAGGCCTAGGCACAGTGACAGTTATAGCCCTCTCTGCTGGTCGGTCTTCTATGCCCTGCTGGGTTACGGGTAAGCCCTCTCCTTCATTGTTGTTGTATTTTATCGGGCTGATTGAATATATGGTAAACATGTAGTTAGCAAAAATCTATCTTGCTTTTATACATTTTTTTTTTATAAAGAACGGTATTACCTTCTTGATATTTTCTACTTTACACACAAAAACTCATCAACAATCGCAAAAAAAGCACATCATCAACTAAAATTTAAAAAAAAATCCCACGTCGTCTGTTTGCTTGTGTTACAAGAGCTATTACAGAGAGTGTTCCGGTATTTATTTCCTCATCTACAATACCATATTAGCTAATAATTAAGTTAATAAAGTAAGTTGGCTTTCAGAGACTCACCTGCTACATCAAGTCGCACTTGGGTACATAATTGCTGTGTAGACGATACATAACATTTATATAAAGCTCCTGGAGTTTGTAAAGTTGGCTGGTAAACTGACTGATCCTTTGGTGATCCTACAATTAACCTAAAAATATGAATAAATAATTTCCGATGAATAGCAGGAACAATCGGGCGCGGGGGACGCGAAAACGAAGGGATTGTTCGAGGTATTGCTAAATCGACCAATGAATTTTAAATCTCATCATTAGACTGAAAATGATGTCAAATACAGTACTGCTGAAATAAGACCTATTATTTGTTTATGGTGTTTGTTTAAAAGACATAAGGCTTTTCTATATACATGTACTAGACTTTTTTCATTTTACATATTGCGCAGTACAGCCTACATGAGATACGTACCGGTACACCGTAAGTTTAAACATGGCAAGACAAAAAAAAAATATAAAATAGTCTACTTATAATTAAATATAGACATGATGTACGGAATTCAAATACTTAAATTTAAACATACATGCAGGTGACATATGTCTACATAATTAATACAGTAATAAGTGTAATAGGAATTACATAAAATTGATCCTGAAAATTAAACAAATGTCATGATTATACGTCGAACCATAAAACTAAATCATTTCATTATGGAGACGGCCATCATCAGCAACCTGAGGTGACTCAACACCTAACATTGTAGGTACGGGGGCGATAACATTCACTTTGGTAAATTCTGATCCACCTTGGCGTCATCCAGATCGATTTGTGATAACTTTATTCCGTTCATCATTATCTAGATTTATATGCTATATTTACCACTTGACCTGGTGAGGCTAATCGTCGATTTAAATCGGGTCTTTGAGATAAGGTGGCAACAAATAAGCTAACGGCAAGATATCTACTACTGTACCCTAACTGGAAGTAGAGTATAACAATGACGACAAAAACGACGATATTTTGCATATGACGATATTAGTCATTATTTATATAATTAGGCCTACTTATATAATAATCATAAAACAGTGATGAAAATGGAAATGACAACGATAATTAAAAAAAAAAAAAAAGAGAGAGAGCTCCAATAATCATAATATGTTATTAATGAGTCGTGGATAATTCTGATTTTTGCCTACAAATTGTATGTTGACTCGACCAAATTAGCGCCAAATTTGAATAGATGTCCCAATGGTACTGGTACTGGTATAGGCATTTTATAATTCGCCTCTTCCGTGAGGTTATAAAGCGTATACGTTCTTTACACTGGTCATTGGGTCCACATGCTTTGAGTGCCACTGCTGCTGGTTCAGCGAAGGAGCAGGCAACCATACCACCTGGTACCCATTTATACTCCTGGGTGGAGAGAAGTAATGCAGATAAAGTGCCTTGCTCAAGGTCCAAGCACTATAACCAGATTGCAATAACCGAATCGCTATCTTTCACTATAATAATAACAGACAGAACCCAATAAGTTGGTTAAGGAATATACTGTGTGGGTTGAGTCAAAGCATATCCCACTTTTTTTACTTACTAAGTTATTATCTTTCAATTAGAAATTAAACATAACAAAAATAGTTCCGTTGCCAACAACAGGTAGGCCTACCCATAACTAATTACTGTTACTGCATGGACTATTGTTTACCAATCAATTTAAGATTTTTTTAAAGTAAAAGTCTGTGAAAATAGAATTACCATTGGTATTTGTCAACGTTTTTAATGTTTGAAGGGGATTCCCTATGTTAAGCTCTGTGAAGAAAATCTGTGATTTTGATAAGGTGTTATAGAAATATTCAATCACTGAATTTGTGACAATAAAATACTGTATAGCCTATTTATGTAAATAATGACGCAAATTGTGTTGGATAATTACAGTCACATGAGCGAACGGATTGCTCCGGGTTCCGAAGACTGGAACGCTTCCTAACACAGTAGGAAATGCTGTGCTATTTCTAGACGAGTTAAGAAATGAGTAATGCCCAATGGTAAGATAATGAAATGATGATAATGATGATGATGATGATGATGATGATGATGATGATGATGATAATAATAATAATAATAATAATATAATAATAATAATAATAATAATAATAATAATAATAATAATAATAGTAATAATAATAGTAATAATAATAATAATAATAATAATAATAATAATAATAATAATAATAATAATAATAATAATAATAATAATGATGACGATGACGATCTGACGACGATGATGATGATGTTGATGATAATGAAGAATGAACAATCATAATAATGATAATGATGAATAAATGAATGAATGATAATGATGAATGATAATGGCAATCGATGTTTATGATGATGATAAATGATAATGATGATGATGGAGAGGATGATGATGATACAGGTAATACACGGTTGTGTTGTGGTACATTATTTTGATGTTGAAAAATCATATTGACATCAATTTTCCTGTATTAAAGGTATGTAGGCACAACTGCAGCCATGTATGCAGTGACCCCAGGGAAAATTGGTACGGTACGCATATTCGTATAATAAAAGTAGGCCTAGGTAATACAAATAAAATGCTTGTCAAATTGTGAATTTATGTGCCCCAGCTAAAATTTTACGTAATGATAACGTTGTAGTTTGGGTTTTTTGTAAAGCAATTATAAACGTATTTGTAACCTAAATTATGAAGAATTAACATTTCATTTTTGTAAGACACGATATATTTTTATAGACTTTAACAACACCAATACTAAACCATTCCAATCAAAACTAGACCAACCATTATGCGCCACCTCCACCCTACCTGTGTGAACCCCGTATCCTAATGGGGTTATTTGACAGTATATCGTACCAGAACCAGAACCAGAGGATCTTGAAACGACAAAGCAAGCGTACTTAATTGTCTGCAAATAATGAGTGAAGCTGTTATGCCACCTGAGAAACGATTGCTCCCTCTAAATCTCAATATAATCTAAATTACCATGTGATATTCCTTACCATTTTTCCCTGGAATTCTCATGAAGCATAACTGTATAACCAAAGTGGCTTTGAATGGGTCCATAATATGTCCATGGATGAGTTACATCAATGTTAAATCCAAAAACTTGAGTTAAAAACACCAGTATGGTGTAAGAAAACAGACCGCAGTTCCGAATTTGCATTTTGATTATTGAAACAAAGTCCGATAGAAAATTTTTACTGGTAAATATACGTAAAACATGGAAATTTTAGACACGGAGCATTCTTTGATGGAATGTTGATGGATACTCGTTCAATTCTGCAATAAGAAGACAAAAGAAAACTATCATTTAATAAGATAATCATTGATAACAGATTCAATACCATTAATCTTTATAGTCACCCGACTACGAAATTGTATATTACGCTATAATCAATTAAAAATATTATTAGGGATAATCTCTGTATAGGAGATAGGAGAAAAGTCCAAATTGGCAAAATTTCAAACAGACATGTGCTTTTTAACAAAATTATATTTGGCAATAGTGAAAGTCGATAGTTATTCAGAGCACTCCAGCCACTCCACTTACCTACCTAAAGAAATACTGCTCCCTTTGTCTCATATATAGTACTTGAGATTTTGACTTTCGAGCATCAAAATGTTTATTTTGGTCCCTTTATTTCTTCCTGTGTACAGGACACTGGATGACAATAACGTTGAATAAAAAACTAGCTTAAACGGAGTCACCAACCTATCATTGTATACACCGACGCCGGGTACGGACATTTATAACTCCATGGTTGAGGTATAATACACTTCAAAATGTATTCATTTATTTATACAGTATATTTTATTTTCGAAATATAGTGCATAACATCTTGAACTAATAATTAAACGGGGTGGGTAGGCCTATCCTAGTACTAAAAACGTTCTACAGCGACGGTAAAGGATGAATAAGTAAAACAGCAATACGAAATTATAGACAATGAATCGTATTCAACCTCAGGACATTTATAGTAATAAGTTTGTAAATCAACGGATTGTAGTTTATAACTATTATTATTATTATTATTATTATTATTATTATTATTGTTGTTGTTGTTGTTGTTGTTGTTATTATTATTATTATCATTTTTATTACAATTATTATATTATTATGAATATACCCTTCTTGAATTTTTAATTTTTAATTTCTACAGCCTTTATTGATTGTCTATGTGCTTTTCGATTTGACATTTGATGTATTTTATTTTATGTGTCGCTGGGCCCTGGAGGATAACAATGCATTTTGCCCAGGGTGAAAAAGAAATAATAAATAAATAAATAGAACATCCCCAGTCCCTAAGCAATGTTTAGTGAAATTTTGCAGGGACTGAGGGTTTAACCTAATTTGAAAGAGCAATTCAAGATTTAAGTTTATTGTTATGGATTTTTAAATTCTAACTCAGCTATTGTATAAATCGTGTGTTTACTAAACTTGAGAAAATGTTCTTTTGACAGGTTAAAATAACAATTCTCTTCTCTAAATTTCCGCGCCATTTCCAAACCTACACGGTTGATTAATTGTTTTGACTGTGCCATGCGATTCCTGTATTGGGATAGTCGATGGTTACTGTCTATCGCACGTTCACCCTTGGATAATAGTAACAATGTTTGCCGCGGGAGTGGAGAGAATATAAATAGAACTAGGCCGAAGTGTGGCTTCATACTTTCTGATTTCTTTATAAGACACATGTTTTGAGAAGTCTCCTAATGATTTTCAGTGACGCAAGGAATGATTTCGAGTTCGAAATGAAACAATCCTTAAAAGGTAAATCTGACAAAGTATCGCTGGTCATATGCCCTACGTACGATATTGAAATGTTGGTTAATTATTTCTTAAATAAGGGCGTCATTGTAACCGTCAACGACTTTTATATATATATATATATATATATATATAATATCGTTATCATAACCAAACTTTCGTTGTCGTCATCGAGCATCAGTATCGTCATCATCATCATTGTCGTCATCATCCTCCTCCTTCTCGACTCTCCTTCTAATCATCATCATTATGAAACATTGCTGTACCATTTCCATGTTTGCTTCACCTTGCAACAACACCTTAATGTTATTTATTTTTTTAGCATAATAATTCGTATAAAATAATAATAATATAATAATAATAATAATAATTAAATTAATAATAATAATAATAATAACAACAACAACAACAACAACAACAACAATAAAAATAATAAAAATAATACTAATATAGGATTTTTTGCCATCTGTATGTTGAAAGTGATAGTGTACTTTACACATGCTTAAACAAAGTACCTTACCTAAGAAAAACAAAGAGTATGTTTCATAATACATTTTCCTACACACCTTTTGTTCTGCTTCCCATTCAAGAACAATTTTCGGGGTAAGAACAAAATATCCGTAGGGCCCGAGCCCAAGCCAGGATGAAAACTTTGTTGTCAGATTTCGGAGGAGGCTTAAATTGGGGAGCGGCCGAGTGGTGGTCCCAAGTGAAGGGGGGGGGGGTCATGTGAGTTGTTGCCCCGGGGCTCTTACTGGCTCTCGACGCCATTGGCATCATGACATCACTGTGATCATCAATCATAGTGATCATGAAACATCATGACATCTCTGTGACCACCAACTACTCTCATCACTAAAACCATTTTAACCATTATTATATCATTTCCATCATCATAAACTTTGTCATGGCCTTGTTTTCGACGTTGTCACCATCCTCGATTACCATCAATCAATTCATCATCATTTATTATAATTTCATCGTCATTGTCAAGATCATGTTCACTGTTGTTATTACATCATTGGAGTCACATACGGAATATGAAATATTACCATTGTCGTTATTATTATTATTATTATTATTATTATTATTATTATTATTATTATTATTATTATTATTATTATTATTATTATTGTTATTATTATCACCCAAAAATTCTTACCATATGCATATTTTTTGTTTAGAAATACGAGAAAAACATTTTCTTTGCGTAAATAATACCGGTACCATTATTCTTAGCACATAGGCCTGTCATTAAATAAACTGATAACCCTAATCAATTTTAAAAAAATTCACATACATTTTTGATCAGTTTAGTTTGGCAAATTCACAGATTTAGATTAAATATCATTTGCACTTCACAAACACAAAATATATGAAAAATATGGTTAACGAAACAAACTCCCAGCACACTTTATCTTTATAAAGCCGCAAAACCTCACTTACGTATCAAAATTCCGTGGCGGGGGAAATACGTGATAACCACCGTCGGACTAATGAAATTTGGCAGCAGAGTAGTTGTCCCCATTTGCCTAAAATGCTCAGTTAGCTCCATATGTTAATTTTATTAAATTACACTTTTTTTTATAAGAACCAGTAGAATTTTGCCCAGGCTCACAGTGTTCTTACTTTTTGGCCAATTTCAGGCTCAAAATGTTCTTATTTTGTTCTTATTTTACACGCTTTTCAAACATAGAAAATTATTATTGTACAGCAGTATACACTGAACTGGAATGTAGGTAAATTGGCCCCGGAAAATGACCCCTGAAAAAATGGCCACAAATAACAGGTAGGTAGGCCTGCACCTACTGTACTGATAGAGGGTATTACATAGTCACACCTACTGCACATAAGGTACATATATAATGTTTTGGTTTTTCTAGTTTTTAAAAATAAAAATCTCATTTTGAAATTTTACCTCAGCCTCAAATTGTTCTTATTTTTTCTTACTTTTTAAGCATTTTCAGCCTCAGTTTTCTTATAAAATGTGTTCTTATAAAAAATTTAAAAAAAGTGTATTTAATTACGTTTTTTAATAATGCATCCAACTGAGTAAAACACTAATTAAAAGAAAATATATATAAAAAAATAAAATATAATAAGTATAAAGATGATTAATTACTGATAGTCCAAATAGAAACATACGCAAGTTAACCATTATCCAGGTACTACTCACTATACTGTCTTTAAGCGTGACAGTGTGAGACACAGACTCGGAATGCACGAATCTCACGCCGAATGCGCGAGTCTCTCAAGCCAAATGCAAGAGCGAGTCTCACGCCGAATGCGTGAGACTTGATAGGTCTGCACCTGGTGATGTTGTTTTAATTTAATTAAGAAATCGAGAGTAAAACCAAAATTGAGTAAATTGTGCAGAATTTCCTAAATAAAATTGTCTCATATCATTATTATTATTACATTAAGCCTATACTTACAATCAAACAGCTGTTCCGACCAAATGCACCGCCAGTAATATATACAGTATTGCTATGGAAACAAAAGTAGGCTACATACCTTATAGTATTATACTATGGCAATTATTCTATAGACGGGATATAGAAAGCATTGCGATAATCACACAAGTCAGTCCATGAATCACGTTCAATCAACTTAACTCTCAAAGTAATGTCACTCCATAGGCTGAGCTTACTGAAGGAAAATCGATGCTAAAACACTCTCAACACATCATATTTTCCGAAGATGAAGTAAATAATAGCACTATTTAAGCCGGCTAATGTATCGGTACTTCGACTGGTAAGGCACAATGGGCTTATTACTGTCAGCGGAGGTTCACTGAATTCCATGTAGGCTCCGAAAGTCAACTGATTGTTTTTACAGAAGCATTGAGCCGTGATAGGAAGACTGTGTGTTCCAACATGTCAAAGTTTGGCCGGATGCCTCACTTACTGTCTTATAAAATCGTGGGAATTAATGACTGCGTCGCCGCGGTGCCTAATAATGTATATATTTATAAGAGTTATGATACAAGAGTTTGTAGAGTATGTATTCTATTTACTAGGTCTATATTGAGCACGTTCTAAAAACATACACATTTAGATGTATGGGATATTTTTGGAGGTGGTCTATAAATAAAAATCAGTCCGACGTACTTTTGCTAATGGGATTCAATCATAGGCCTAATGTTGGCAAAGCTTATCCTATAATGTTTGGTTTTGATATGCAACGGCATTTCGGTCCATACATAAATATCCATATAAGCATATTTATTCATACTGAAATGATGATAATATTATATAATTATATAATATTCAAATTAGGTTTTGCTGCGCATATTATAATATAAAGTATATATATATATTAATTATATATATATATATAATCAAATAAATATAAAGCAGTGTGCAAATATATAGAAACATAATATATAAATATCGCAATATATATTTATTTTCTGGCGGCATATAATTTTAAACTTATGTATGGTATTGTTAGATATCGTACCCAATATCTAACAATTTAATATAGGCCTATAAAAAATGTGTCTGTATCATGGCATTCAAACATAACCGAAAGTACTACTTAAAAGTTTACCTTATAATTCCTTAAAACCCTTATGTATTCAGATTTTTTTTTGTTTCGATTGACATTACCATACCCATTGTTTTGTTTTTCCTTTTTTTTCTTCAAATATATTGCTTTATATGCTACCAGAAACGAAGCGCAAAATGTCTTACTAGTTCGGAGGTGGTCGTTTTTTAAGGCAGTCGGTCGTACTTGTGCTAATGTCAATCAATCATACTGATTGCAATAACTTATCGTCTCCTATAATATTCGGTTTTTATATCTTTTCTTATGCAATGCAACATTCCATACGTACACACCCACACAGGCATACACAATTTGTTATATTTATACAGCGCATATAATAATATAAATAATAATAATAATAATAATAATAATAATTATTATTATTATTATTAATATAACCATAACCATATTAGTCCAACACAAACATTATAGGCCTAACAAAAAGAGAGAATAATATAGTATGGAAAATTGCCCATTTTACAAGGGAACTGGCAATATCATGACAGGTTATTAGACCTAGATAATTGTGGCGGTATTATTGTATTCGAGCATCACCGAAACATCTACTTAAACACTTGAACCTACAATTTTACCTTCTGTTTCCTTTAAAAACCATTATCATACATCCGCAATATTTGGTTTCGATTGCAAGATTGCAATGCATCTTTAAGTTTTATTTTTTATGATCCTGGGTTAAATAGAGAAGATACAACCAGAACGTCTCACCAGTTCACTGCCCCCTGGTCTCACTACTTTAGGGACCCGGCTACGCATCCATTTAAGCACATTAACCTAGCATGCCGAGTAGGCCTAAGTAGTAATATACACGTGGCAAGTATGAAATTTAACAGTGCATGAAACAATTTGTGCATCGGTCTCGCGTGCGTGCAATGTTACCCATGATGTGATCCCATCAGTGTATATACGTGTGCATTACTCTTCCAAGCTACAATATACGATTATAGAGATAACATGTTTACAGGCAAAAAAAGAGTAAAAATTGTATATTTTAGAGAAAACATATGAGAAAACAGACTAAAGTGGTGTGGACATGAAGAAATAGAAGAGGACGATCTTGGAAGATGGCAGCGAAGCATAGAGATAGGCAAAAGGAAAGGAACACGACCTAGAAAGCGATGAATAGTTTATGTCCGAGATGACAGCAGAGTGGTTGACCTGCGCAGAGATGGTGATAGGGGAAAATGACCCGGTGTTGAGACGACTCGCCCGACCCCCTTGAGGGGATAGCCGGAATGATGATGTATATAGGCCACAGGCAAAATTACTATAGTGCATAATCAATAAGACTACAGAAACATCATTGAACAGCTAACACTGCCGACTAGAAGTTTCCTTATTGCCTTGAAAATACAGTAATTTTCTTAAGATAAACAGAAGAAATATACTAAATTTGCATCAAAATTAGGTTATTTTATACATTTATTTTATGTACCTTGTTCAATTTTATATTAGTATTTTCCTGCAAAAAATCTATCGAGCAAATATAATACCGAATGCATTACGTTAAAAAGTCGCAAGGTAAAAAACGGCAGGCTTCTAAAACAATAATTAATATAACTTGATAGATGATGATGATAACAACGATGATGGTTATAACAATAACAATAATAATAATAATAATTTAATAACGTATCACTCTCGAGCAACACAATTGCATAAAATTCAAGACAGTTTAATTGGGATTAAAATACAGTAAAAAGGTCCAGATGCCTATAGAGTAGGTATTCATATTGCATTAAACATTATAATATGCAACACTTAATCTTCTATACGTCTACTTCTAACATTATAAATACAGAACACAAAATGACCAGCACTTACATTATGGTATAAAAATATTAGCAAGCCTAAAAAATAAAAATACCTGTGTTGTAGCAGTACTTTGTGTTACCTTATATGCAATACACACAAATGTTTAAAAAAAGAGAACATAAATCTATCAATACTATTTTTGACACTGTCATACAAAATAAATGAAAATGATTAGCCATATATAAGATTCTCATATGTAAAAATTAATACTGCAGTAGAAAAATACCCAATTTCACTTTCATTAACTACATTAAAATTTAAGTTCACTCTTTTTGAACTTATTAATTGAAATGCATTAGAAAAAGTATCAGACAAAGAATTTAAAAATAAACTCAACAAGGAATACGGTATACATTAAGGTTTGCAGGTGAACAGAATAATATGGGCATTGCAGATGAACACTACACATGCGAATACCATACAGGTGAATCATCATACAGTTGAACACTATGTAAACACTGTGTGGGTAAACACTATATGGGTGAACACTATACAGGTGAATACCACACAGGTAAACACCATATAGATGAGCATTAAGCACTATACATGAACACTTTACAAGTGAACACCAGAAGCCCATGAGCTTGTTGAAACTTGTGTATAAAAAAAACACTCAAATGATATGTAATATTTGTATAAAAATAAATTTGAAAGCAAATTATAAATTATTTACCTGTAGTAGAATCTATTTAATAAATGTAAAAAATTGTATAAATGTTGAGAATTTACGGAATATAAAATTTGTTATTTTCTGTTAAAAAAGATTAAAGAATCCACATTTTTCATTCTAACCCGTAATCTATCATTAGGCCAGTATTTGTGCACTGGCCCTTGACCCTACCGGCATGGGCTTAGCCAGAAAAAAGAAATAGGCCATCCAAAATGGAAGACAAAGAACCAAGCGGGGGTGGGTGAGTGGTATTTACTAACGGTAAACCAGGCCCAACTAGGCTAGGCCAAGCCATCCAAGCCGTCGTGCTAAAAGTGGCCGTCATAAATAATTGTTGGCCGTCCAAAAGACGGCTGGATGGCTTGCTGGCTAAGCCCTTGCCTACCGGGCATTGTAGGGAACCCTATACCCTAGTTGGTCCATATTTGCACACTCTTGCACCCCCACAAGGCAATCTTGGATTGAGCCTTCCACTTGGAAAGTTTCTATATGTACAGTAACAATCCTAGTGTACGTAATGGTAAAAACAACATAACCACACAAAAAAACAACAGAACACTGCACAGATCTATCAATTTTTTTTTTCATAAAAGTTATATACAATTTTATCTATATAAAATATAAGATGCTAGTAGATGAAACAGGAAAACCATAGCAATAAAAGATATATACAAAATAAATTGAGAAACATTAGGGTACACGTTGTAGTGTATGCATGTAGTTTATCCTAAGGCTCAAAAGGAAAACTCATGTTGCATCAGTTGACTTTGTCTGAGCGTATGTTTCAGGGACTCTTTCTACTGGTGAGGAAGAACCATTTTTCGTATTGTTAGTAGAACAGTCCAATTAAAAAAATGTTATTTTTGGCATTCTGAAGAACATTTCTCTGGCACTGAATCAATATCGTGCCTCCAGTGCCAAAAAGTCTTTCTTCATGAGGTTGACCTTTTCGTCAAACTATTGGCACAGAAAATTAAATTAGTTTAGACAACCCACCATACACTTCACCAAGCTAACTTCAATAACTCTGTGGGTGAGGAGAAATTGGGGGGGGGGGCTGTTTGTCATGTACACAAGAAAACTGTGAGGAAGGTAAACGAGGAGTTGTGGTTGAATTGAAACTGTACATGAACACTGACCAGCAATCGTTCTTATGTGGAATCAAAATTCAGATGTAACACGTTCCTTTGGAAAATTGATTACCAACAATTTATGAAAAAACACAGTTCTTAAATTTTCAGTGGAAAAAGGCCCTTATCATGCTGGACTACATCAACAAAACACTACAGAAATAAAACATTGTATCTCATTCGAATACTGATAACCAAAATGTTACAGAATATTTTTGTTATCCTTCTTAATTAATATTTATAAAGGGTTTTTTTTAACAATTTTCTTATGAGAAATTTAAAAAAATCAAAATACATGATTGATTGATAATATTCAGATTTTTTTTCACTTAAATCTAAAAAGATACAAACAACTTACATCCATGGACACAATTTAAAACCCTACCAAAATACATATAATGATTATGTTATAATACAACATGAAACAATATTAAATTATCGATACTTACAAAAAAAAATAAATAAATAAAAAAATCAACAATTAAATGTCTTTCTTTAAAGAAACTTTCAATAAAATTTTCTTTTACTGGCATTGAAAAAAAAAAAGCAACAAATTAATAATGAAAAAACATGTGTAGTTTCAGTTTGATATTTAATTTATTGTTAACGATTATTAACTAGCACATAATAATTTGTCAACTGAATTTGAGGTGTAATCTTGGAACTACTTTCTATACATTGGATTCTTGTATGTTGACGTTGACGGCTTGTAAATTGGATTTTGGGCCTAAAAACGAAGAAGAGAAGAGAAATGACAATTAGACAAATTTACACTATATTTTAATATCAATCAAATAAAAAAATATGAAAGTGTGTGAATAGTCTTATGAAAGAGTGACTAAATAAATATGAAAAATGGGTGAGTTAAAAATGAATTAGGATAACAAGAATAGATAGATCTTATTATAGGAAGAATAAACATAAGATAAAAGGGGTCAATAGGCAAAAATGACAATGGAAAATATTAACAAAATTGATAATAGGAAGAAGAAATCATCGAAAAACAAGTACAATAGATAATAATGATAGAATTTTTCTTAAAGCCCTGTCTAGACAATCAAGTTTTATTTGACAAAAGCATTTTTATTTGACAAGAGCATGTGACATGCCTAAATATGGTCTGGTCATGATGACATCACATCATGACCATATACATGACTATATATGGGCATACAAATGATTTCTGTCAAATCAAATTTGATATTGTGGACAAAATCTTTCTATTTTTTATCAAAGTTGGATGACATTTATACGAAAAAAAATATCCTTGTAATACTTACAGCACCCCATTTAGCGTTCTTCCTTTCTTGTTCATGTTTGGCAAATTCTCTTTTGTCGTGGATGTAGGTGAGAAGACGCCAGACAAGAAGAAGTATCAACCCAACTATGATGATGCCGATTACGATGCCGAGAATGATCAGCAGCGGATCAACAGGCTCGCTGCACACTGGAAATACAGAAAAACATCAAATTAAAACATTGTGCAAATTTGGCAGAACTCTGCATCAGTAAGCATATACCCTGTATGCCTCAGTAAATATTTATTGGTACAGTGAAATGTAGCAGCAGAGAGAACAAAAGCATAATTCTATAAAATGAGCTAACTTTAATAAGACAAAAATGTGCATTTAATCTGCAAGGAATTTCCTAATCTACAGTATGTGATTGTGTCGTTCTCTGGAGTTGAAGTGGGTAGCTTGAAAGAGATTACTAGGAATACTTACCGTGAGATCCAAGAATCACATGGAAGTTTCATGGGTGGTGGGGAGGGAGAAGGTCACAATGGGAAAGCTCTAGAATGGGAATGATTTTTAAGTTTTTATTGGGGGATCGAAGACTAAGAGGCACATTTTGTGGGGAAGCATGCACCATGATGTCCACACCCCAAACATTTTAGTACTGCACTGTACTATTTAAATTATTAAATATTATTATCATCTTCCATTTATTATTACTATTCTTTTATTATATTCTATTTGATTATTCATTGATTTGTGGTCATTCTTAGCGTTGATACCTTTATCCTCCTGGACTTTCAACTTGTAGGTTCCATCTGCATTTTTCTTATAAGTAAAGACAAACGAGCAATCTGACTGGTCTTTAAAAACACACCGCTCTCCTTTGTTCTCTGTGGGATGATAACATAGAGTTTTAGAAGTGCGCAATACCTATGTACATTTATAGCTTACATAATCCTGTTGTGCAAATATGGGCAGCAATTCCACCATTCATTTAGCAAGGAAAATTATGTAAAAGTATTATACTGTAGTAGTACATAAGGGTTACAGTATTTCACATTTTTGTTTTATTTAATGTACGAAAACACTTGCAGATGAATAATTTATTTAATTTCAGTTTTATTACCTCGGCATAATGTATAATTTAATGAGTAGGGACATTTTAACCTACGGGAATCGGCAGAGATTTAGAATTAGTTTAACACCAATAAACAATTAAAGAAAAAATCATAACAATTTAAACATTGAACATATGCTACAGGTATACAAAACAATTATGGCATATTTGTAAAAATAATTGATGTCATTAGATAGGTATATTTGAGGAAGTGATGCCAATGTAAATACAATAAAATTGCAAATTTAAGTGTTGATTCTATCTCTTTTGTTAAACTTCATATGTTATAATGTCATGGTCATCATCCTCATATATTAATGTTTGGTAAACAGAGATACAGTAGTTGCAAAAATAAACACAATGAATCACAATGACGAGTCTCGCTTTACTTGGAGTACGTTTTATACTAAGTTATCTTAAACACATACCGATTGTTAGGTTTGTAAGTATTTCAACTTCATAGGGACAAAGGTCACACTCCTTGGCACTCTTAGCACCTTCTCCAAACGCTTTACATTGCACACAATCTTTATTAGTAATGCATGGGCCAGGACATGTCTACAGAAAAAAAAAATAAACATCATCATCCTGAACAAATGCATTATAAAAAACAAAAGGAAGTTAATGTGATACAGAAATGACATTCAATAATTTAAATGACAATGACTGGTATAGGATATGGCATAAGGATATTAAAGTTTGATAAGGCAATAAGAAGGTCAATAAGATGAACTTAAGGTCAAATGGGTACTAGACAGAAAGTCATAATGAACTTAATGTAGGCTTATTAAAACACTAAATATATCTATTCCAATATGTATTTATTTTTAAGATTTAAGAGAGGATCCACTGGGCCTGCTTTGGTCCCATTGGATAATATTAAACTTGACAGTACTCTAAGCAATTGAGCACTTAATAGCCAAATGCTTTTATGTTAATTATTTCTTTTCAAGTCTTTAGTAAAGTCTCAAAAGTGTTTCTCCTTCTCTTCATGGACATTGGAAACATCGGCAATCCTACATAGTGTGCAATTTCCTCTGTTTCTTGTGGATTAGTCATTAATATGTATGAGTATACCAAATCATTTAACATGTGGGTAGCAATTATTGTCATAATTCACACATACTCAGTGCTAAAATTCGTTAATAACCACTAAAATGCACTATGGTTTTTCTTGAATGGGTATGTAATTGAATTACCAAACCAAAATGCATTGTGATGACCTAATGCTGCAACTTTCTGGGTTAAGATTATTGCTCGCCCCAGAGTGCAACTTTTAAGGACTTAATTTTTTTTTTTTTTGTTCTGAGCAGAATTCCACTTTTGAAGTACAATTTGAGCCCATCACATGATTTTATTAATAAAGGTAGTCAAGTGTTAACTTGCTCCACTATTTAAAAAGAATAGAGGATTGTCTTTCTATGTACAGTACTAACTAAGATAGACACTGCACTGCCACCTGCCACCAATGCCGTAGCCAGCTACTGGGACAATGGGACAGTCCCACACAATTTTACTATTGGGACCACATTATTTATACAAATAATTATACAAATAATGGGTCCACATTTAAAAAAATAGGTTAACTTATGTTGTTGATGCACAAAATAAGTCCAGACTTTTTGAAAAATGGGTCCAGAGTTAAAAAATGTATGCGAAAATGGGTCCACAATATTCAAATTTACGCGTAAAATGGGTCCACCCTGATATTTTCCCACAATGTTTGAAAATCCTGGCTATGGCATTGTCTGTCACCACAGGTCCTCAAGTATTATTGTTTTCTATATTCAAGGACAATATACATTTACATTTATCATAATAATTTACTAACCGGGCATTCTCCACAGTTATTACCAGTATAAGATGCATTGCACTTGCAGACACCACACTCACATGTTCCAGCATTATTGCAAATCAACTGTGTGAAAATAATGATGGGATTAGCAATCACATAAAAATATTTCATTCTCACTGCACATATGAACATTAAAATATATAAACAGGTTATTCTTTATTTAAATGTATCTGTTTATCTCATTCCTTCCAAGGCCCTCATTGGCCACCTTTCATGCAGGCCTCTTACAATTATGTATATAAATGTATATACATATATATACTGTACATATATTGTACATACATATACATGTATATAT